GAGAATTGAGATTGTAAGTTGACAATAGGTGTAGAGCCTTGTGGACTTAGTCCAGTGGCATTCGGGTAAAGATGTACGTACATGGAATCTGAGATCTGATCCGTAGGATTGGAGGTTCCACCCAACCGGCGCCGTAGGTACCGGGTTGACCAGAATCATGGCCGTAGGTAGTGGTTCTGATGTCATAGAGTAGACTTTGAGTCATGGCCGTAGGTAGTGGCTCTAAGTCCTAAGATAAGAATGTGGGTAGTGAGTAATTGGCCTTAGCCTAGAATAGGTTATGAGCTAGTGTTGGATATGAGTTAATGTAATGACCTGAATGTTGACTTGTGCAGATGAAGAATAAAGGTAAGTGATCTAAAGTATGTTGTTATAACATAGTTGTTTTACCTAATAATTGTTATGTGATATTATTATTGTTGAACTTGTGTGCATGATATTGTATGAAGTTATGAGCTAGTGGGTTCGTCTATGTGCGTAGTCGAACGTTAGATAGTTCTCACTTAGCTTCAATGCTGAGCGTGTAGCCCTTTTTCCTATTTGCTACACGTAGGTAATATGAATGATGATAATGAACTATTCTGGAGGCAGCGAGGGTGAAGAAATGGATGGATGCTAGCTAGAGGAGTTTATTATTTAATATTTAAGTTTGAATTTATTATGGGCAAGAACCCAAAGTTGTATTTTGATTAAGTACTTAAAGGCTTCCGCACCGTTTTGATTTACTCCGATGGATATTTAAATAATGTTTTGAATTAATTGCTTTAAATGGTTTTGAAAATTATTGTGTCTGAATACCAATCTAGTAGCAACCCGATCCGCTGGTCCTTGTATTTGGGTCACGCGGGTTGGGGTGTTACATTTTGGTATCGGAGCAATTGGTTTTAAACCCGGACTTCGGACTCTTTCAAAAAAAATCAAAAAAAAAATGTTTCAAAAAAAAATGTTGATTTGGTTGCAAGGTACTTGAGCACCAGCATCCGCATCTCTCGCAACCCCTCTGCTCTAGGAGGTAACTTTAAATCTTTATTATGTGCTTATGTGAAAATTGTTGTCTTCACTGATAGTTGATTTGTTTGTTAATTAACCTGCGGGTTATCAAAAAAAATTATGTGTAAGAAAAAAAACATAAGCAAGAGAAGATTGAAATAATATTGAAATTTAAAAAAAATGTTGGTTATAAAAAAAATCCATAATTATCCATGACGACTAGTGCGATCATGTTATGTAAAAAAAACAGAAAAACAGATGCATCACGTGTTGAGCAAACGCGTAAGTGACTTCAAAAAAATTGTGGTCAAGTTTAACCAATGAATCTTGAACCGAATTGCTAAACTTTTAAGTGACAATTGACTTTTCACAAAAAAAAATGTTTGATTGTCGTTTTAACTACTTAGAGGAAAACAACATAGTGATTTTAAATCAAAACAAATGAATCAGAAAAACATTTGATCAAAGATTAAAATGATCTTTCTTTTACAAAGAAAAGGTACATACACTCTTGATAAAAAAATTGAAATGTATTTATTAGTTTTACTCTTTACCTTGGAAGAATTTCGGGGACGAAATTTCTTTAAGGGGGAGAGAAATGTAACGACCCGAAAACCGGCTTGGTAGTTAGCCGTTATTTTTAATAAAAATAAATACTAAAGTTATTTACTCAGAAATATGAATTATTTGTAAAGTTGTCTGTTTGGAATAAAAATTGGGTTTTTGGATAGATCTCGTAAAATGGTGACCAACGGTATATAGTTCGTTATAGTCGGATATATGTATAAAGCGTGGTGAGTAAAATAGACATTACAGTTCAATAAAGAAATATAAAGATTTTATAATATAATATTATTATTATTAAACCTACTCCTACCCACGGTATGAAACCAAAACTCTCCCCTCCCTTATACTCCCTCCGTCCCACTATCTTTGTCCACTTACCTTTTGGCACACCATCCAATGCACTTCTTTAATCCATTTTATCTTGTAATTTGTATATTAAAAAATTATATAAATTATATATTAATAATCTATATGTTAAGACGAATCAAACAAGATCACACATGACTATTTTTAGGCTTACACATTGAGAGAATTTGATGAGTCAAAGTGCTTTGATGAACAGTTCCAAAAGTCAAAAGTGGACAAAGACAGTGGGACGGAGGTAGTATTATATATACACGCAACACAAACCCACGCCGCACCAGAAAGAAAGGAAACAACAGAAGTTAAAAGAGAAAAGGATAGAAAAACATATACGGAGTACTAATTGTCGCCCAAGAAGAACATAGCCGAAGAAGAAACGCTGATCCACTGTCACTGCTCCGTCAACAGCCGCTGACCGCCGTGCCGCTGTTGTGCCGCCGCCGCGGGGATCACCGGAAACAGCCTGACCAATTGATTCTTGCTTTGTTTAATTCGCCAATTAATCAAGGTCAGAACTTGTACATCTAACGCCAGATTATGTATATAGATTTGAAATTCACGTTCGTAGTTTCGTATGATTGAGTACGTGGTTTATTTGTTTATAATTGAATTATGATCTATTTTATGATGATATTGGAATTGATTGAACGAGGAATACGAGGTACGTTTTCTTACTTCAAATTGTGTGAATTGCATGATTATAACCTTTAAAAATGTTATATGTATCAAATGGTTTGGATAGAATAAAAGTTTGCTGAATCTGTATACTTCTGATGTCGGACGGTAGCCTGGTACCGTCCAAACGGTACCCAGCTACCGCCTCAGGCTCGTTGCTGCTGTCGGTACTATGAGCGACAGTCAGACGGTACCGTACCGACAGTACCAAGGTACCGCCAGACGGTACCGAAGTACCGTGACGGGTACTGTACCGACAGCTGCAAATCCTGTTATTCGATTGTTTGACCCAATTTGGAACTCAAATTGACTCTGAAACCTTACGTGTTGCATCACGGTAAATGGAAGGTGTTTACACTTGACATTAGGCCGCTATTTGGATTGCTTGATGATCTATTTAATTATTTCTATTCTCTTGATCTATAATGGATATAATGTGATATGCCTTAAACGGATAAAGTAAATTGAGTGGTTGTTAGCTTGGATCTGAATAATTAAAGAAAGTGAATGATGTAGGTTACCTAGAAGAATTCTAGGATTGCTTTGAGAGAATTGAGATTGTAAGTTGACAATAGGTGTAGAGCCTTGTGGACTTAGTCCAGTGGCATTCGGGTAAAGATGTACGTACATGGAATCTGAGATCTGATCCGTAGGATTGGAGGTTCCACCCAACCGGCGCCGTAGGTACCGGGTTGACCAGAATCATGGCCGTAGGTAGTGGTTCTGATGTCATAGAGTAGACTTTGAGTTATGGCCCTAGGTAGTGGCTCTAAGTCCTAAGATAAGAATGTGGATAGTGAGTAATTGGCCTTAGCATAGAATAGGTTATGAGCTAGTGTTGGATATGAGTTAATGTAATGACCTGAATGTTGACTTGTGCAGATGAAGAATAAAGGTAAGTGATCTAAAGTATGTTGTTATAACATAGTTGTTTTACCTAATAATTGTTATGTGATATTATTATTGTTGAACTTGTGTGCATGATATTGT